TTATATAGTCCTAAGTTGAGACCATCTACTTTTGAGTCTCAGGATTTGAGTTTTTATTATTATTATTATCAAATATTTACTTCTCTATGGTATCTGAAAGTAAAGAGGAATTGTTTTTAACAAATAAATACTGGTGGAAATATGGATGATTGTTAGTTTTCTTTTTCCATTTTTATTATTTTTAAAATATCCAAAACAATGTAAACATAAAAATAATATATGAAAGAAACCTGTGGTCTTTGCACAGCATACTGTAAGTAGTCACAATTTTTAAGAACCTGTAAGATTTAATTAAGATAGAGAATTGCTTTTGAGCCGTTTTCTTATTTACTTATGACAGTGATACTGCCGAGGACCCTGCTTTTGCCCCCAAAGCCTTAAAAACCTGTGAGTACCTCAAGTAAAAGCTTTTGTTTTCTTGTCTTATTTTTATGTACAGAACGTAATGTGAAATGAAACAATAGACAGAATGGGAAGCCCTGGGGATTGCTGGCTGAATGGGAGGCTGAAATGTTGGTCCTCAGTCTTTTCTGTTCATGACCGTTTGGAAAGAATTCAGGCACAGGCCAGAGTTAGAGACAAAAGGAAAGTTTATTAGAGAAAGGATAACGCTCCATAGACACAATGTGGTTTCCTCTCAGAGACAAAGAGTGAGAGAGTCGAGAGGGACAGAGCGACGGAAAAAACAATGAGAAGGATAAAGAGTGACCCCGAGTGTTCGGGGAATTCAGTTTATATATCATTCTTAGTTTCTATGAATTACAATTTAAAGACTTTGTGTATCTATTTTCCTTTGATAGTATGGTAAACATTGTGAAAGATAAGGGTTTGTAGCATGAAAGGCATGCTAGCCATTGATCCATCCATAGGTCCCCTATGGTTTTAGCCATAGGGAAGAAATAACTGTGTTTATTTTGTGTAGAGCACGACTTAAAGACTTTTCCCTTCATGGTATGGGTAAATGGTTTGTTAGAAATCCCAGGAGGAATCTTCCTCTGTTCTGCAAGTTTCCTGTGGTCTGGCAGCAAGACCATGCAAGCTCTGATTATAGCTCGATTTAACATTTAGTTTTCATGCCCCCTCCCTACATTACTTTATCAATGAATGTATGTATTATCTTCTAAATTTGTGTGCTAGTGCCTTGAACATTTTTTTTATTCATCTCAAAACTTTAATCACTAATTGAAACAGCTGCTTTATGTGAACAGAACTTATGAAATGATATGTAAACAAACTCTGCTTCATGTTTTGGCAGCAATTAAGTCCACCTTCATCAGAGAGTTCTTTTGCACTACACGTACTCTTCACCTGGAAATGAAAAAGACTTCAAATCTGGAGCTCTTCTTTCTTCCCTTTGACATGCTAACACGCTACTGTATCATTGTCCTTAGCAACAAACAGGTGAGAACAGAACTGTATTTTTGCTTTCATCTTAGACTGGCACTTTAATGGAATGACTAGTACTGGCTGGTAGCTGAAGACTTTCAAAATGTAGATAACAATTTTAGCCCTCTAGTAGCTACACAAAGAGCTTAGCCTCAAGAATATGCAGTTACAGTAGTCCTGGGTACATTTTATAATGGCTACATACATTTTATAATGGGAGGCATGCCTAACCTTGCAGTGGCCCTATCTGTCAGTCTGTGGTTGCCTAACAAATTACCAAACATACATTTATTACATCACTTTTCAATGGATCAGAGGTCTAAGCATGACCTAGATGGGTCTTCCGCTTAAGGTCTGTGCTGGGTCTGTGGTGAGTGCTGGGTTCTCCTGAGGTTCATTTGAGGAAGGAGCTGCTTCCAACTTCTCTCAAGTCTTTGGCAGAATTAATATCCTAGTGGCTCTGGGATCCATGCAACTTGCTTCTTTAAAGCCAGCAAAGGAGAGAGATCGAGAGAGAGAAGGAGGAAGAGAGAGATGGAGACAGAGAGAGAGAAAGAGAGAGAGATTGTCTTTAGATGAAAAGTTTGATGGCATTATCCCTTTCCGGAAAGACACTGCAAAGTGTTGACCTGAGGAAGGACTTTATAATCCCCAGGAGCTGGCCCCAAATGTATCAATTATGTATCAGTTATGCACCATTTTGAACGCATATGTAATGAAATAATGGTAATTGGAAAGGTATTGTTATTTACTTGGTATCTATAAGATCATTTACATATGAAAAATAATATAAGCTATGAAATATGTAAAGTATAGTTTAATTTTACACTTAAAATTACCGCTTAGGAAGAAAAAAATGCTGTTTTATAGTAATGCTTAATCTTGTTTTTTATTTCCTTTAAAGGAGTTCTGTATTTAACTGAATTGCTCTATATAAAAATTCATGAAAAATAGTAACTATGATATAGAAATCAGTAGTTTGATCAAATGCTTCATGATCTTTTTTTTTATATCAATTTATAATATATCCCTAGAAAAATGCTAGGATTAATTTTCAATAGCTTAGTAAGGAGATTCATTTTATTCTATAAGTTAGACTATTAGAATATTAATATTTGCTTCCATAAATTTTACCTAAATTAATAAAAATATAATTACACTTGGCTTCTCAATTTATTAAAACATGACTTATTATATATATTTTGTCCTTGTCAGAAAAATATTAAGAAAAATAATCATAAAATTATATTGCTATCAATCGAGAAATAATGCCTTTAGTGTAAAGGATTGCATTGAATTATTATCACATCTATTAATTTACACATTCAATTTTAGTGCTAATTATATTGAAAAATGCAATTACACGCTTAAGTAGATAATCAAACATCCAACTCCACCTAGTTAGCTCCTGTTCTTATTAAATGTGTGATAACTGCTTTGCCATTAAGAACTACCTGTTGAAAACTGTAAAGTAATTAGGCCTCGATTTGATAGCTTTCTATGTGTAAAAGAAACATTTCTACTAACACTGCTATCAAGGAAAGGCCATTTGTTTTACTTCAACTGTTCCATTCGGAGTTTCAAATAAAAAAAATAAAATGAGTTATAAAACAGTTGTTTAAAAGTAGAAATAGTTTCATAAAACTTCCATCAGCGTTCATAGAAATTTTTATGTTAGGGCAAAACCTACAATGCCCTGAAAATTCATGTTATCAAATGCCAAAAATCCAAAGAAATTTCTGCTCTGTGTGGATGGGGTAGATTAAATCATGACCCACCTGAGAAATTACATCTGCTGGGAGGCGGGGCTACAGATCCCCATACAGGGCACACAAACACTACAAAACACAAAACAATGTCTTGACACAACCTTGGGACTCTGCGTTCATTGTGGTGCCCGCGTAAACGTCTTCTCTGTGTAGTCCTGGGTTCTCAAGTAGGAAACCGAGTGGCGTTGCTAAGATCATTCATATAAGAGAGGCAGTAGTATCAAGCAGGGATCCTTGACATGGGCCTGGTTTAAGAGTAGGTTCCAGTTATGGCCACCGACTGTGGCCTAAACCAGCCTTGTTACACCAACCCATCAACCTTTTTATTGACCCAAACAAGACTCCTTCTCTCCCTGATGTGTTTATCTTCCAGTCCTTTGTTGTCATTTTCTATCTACAAAATTTGGTCAGAACGAATTAAAACCAAAGTCCAGGTATTGCTGACCTGAGGAACCCAGGATGGAAGTCAGCATCCCTGAGCAACTTATGCAAATTGGTCCTGTCCTACACAAGGACCTCAAGTACCAAAGAGAGTTTCAGCCTTGCCCAAATAGAAAATTGACAGGACAAAGTTGCCCACTCCTAGGTAGGGGACCCTGAGAGGCCTTCTTTTTTATTTGTGGCCTACAGCAATTTAGTCTAAGGCCATGCGATACCAGTTTTTAAATATATCGTATGTCACTCTGGCCATCTCCCTTACGTTTACATAAATAAGTAGAACCACTCATCTGACTTTTTGCACTATCACTCATTTCATTCTCTCTCAGTCTTTTGTATCTTTCTGTTTCTGCTAATGCAGAGATTGAGCTGGAAGTCTCTATTATGTATATTTTTAAATATTCTATAATCAATTTGTAACTTTTTTCAATCATAACTAGTGTGCAGGCTTTAATAATACTGATTTTGATTAAATTTATTGAATATAAAAGTAAAAACATTAAATCATTATGCTAAAATCTTTGTGTAATTTTACACTTAGGCAAACTACAGTTTAATGAAAGTTATTTATATAACTGTAGGTACTGAGTATTTTGAGGTTGATTTATTTTTTATGGTTTTTAACAGCAAGCCACATTTCATTTGCCCCTTGTGTATGTGGTGTACTGGAACATGTCCACCAATTTCTATAACACAGGCAGACAGAATGTGACTGTTCTAGAATAGAGGGAAGAATACATTTCTGTATGATAGCAGAGGCAGGGATAATTGACTAATAGAGGAATTTGGTCAAGAAGGCTAAGTAAAAATTTGCCAGTAAAAGAGTTTGGGCATGGAAGAAGTGTGCTCAGAAGATTCTAAGAACATGAGGCAAAACAGCCAAGCCTGAAATTCATGGACACTTGAATTTCTGATTCAGAGAATGGTTTGTCAGAAATGACAAAATGGGTTGGATGGATAGGTCAGACTGATAAAGAAGAGGGCAGTCAATTTTAAGTTGAATAACTTAACATTAGTAGTAGTAGTAGTAGTATTGAAAGTAGGAACCCAATGGAAGGTATTGAGCATAGGCATGATCTGATTTTATCTTTGTTTTAGAAAGCATTTCTGGAGTCAGAAAGTAGATTGAGAGTTGGAGATAGAAACTGGAGACTTAAAGACTGGATAAGAATCTTGGAATCTATTTACATTACTCCACACACCACAATTTTATACTGCACTCTGATTTTTTCTGCTTTTTGTCTGCTAGCGGTAAAGATAGAAGGATGTGAGCAGTGATGGTGAAAGAAGAGGTGATGATGTTGGATTTGGGGGAAGGGAAAAGGGGACAAGAGAACTGTAAAGAATATTGATATAAAGATCCATCTTAATGACAGTTTGAGTGATGCTCACACTTGAAGGGAAGCAAATTTTCATTTACTTGCAGAGCAAATTGGTGGCAAAAACTTAAACAGAAACTGGGCAACTGTGGTGGTGAAGAAGAAGAGAGATTGTTAATTTCATTGCCACAATGACTTCTAGAGTCTAGACCCTGCTTCCTGTTATTGGATGAGGTGTTTTCCTGTAAAATACCCTATTTTTTTTTATTAAGCAATCAATTCATATTTTATGCCATTTAAATGTTTATTGCTTTCTCAAAATGTCTGTGGAATAATCTCTCAGGCATGCAATTAAGATTGTGTTAAAATTGTGTTAAGCAAGTTGAACTTTTTAGTGCAGGCACGTAAATCTTTTCATATATCATCTCCTTACCCTTTCTGAGAATCCTAGCTCATTCATTCTATGAAAAATAGTATTTTTAAAGAACAGTGATTATTCTTAATGGTCAGTTTCACATTATAATTATGGCAAAGTCAAATAGTCACCCACAATAATTAATGATCTCTCTCTAGTGTATGGAATTTAACATTTTAGGATTTTAGCTTAGCTCTCTTTTGCCCATTTATCCACCAAAATAATGTTCTTCAGCCATTTAAAACAAACAAATTATAAAACCTAGCAAGATGTAGGCCAAGATAAGAAAATAAGTAGAATTTAAGACCTATGAAACAACATGGTGATTTTTTCTGTCTAGAAATGCTATTTATTTTTTTTCTTTTTTTAAGATTGAGGTTATTTGTCTCTGGAGGGCTTTCATGACATGTGGAAGGTTATCCAGCTAATTAGTGCAGACCTGGGATTAAAACTTTCCTGCCAATTCAGTGTTTGTGTTCTTTCTTTCTGGGTCATTAATGGCTGGGCTTCTTGTAAAATTGCATGCAATTGTGATATTTGAGGATAGCATTTAACCTGATACACAGGAAACACAAAACATCTTTTGTGAAGGTTTCTTACAATTGACAATGGGCTGTGGCATAGTTCTGGAAAATATAGTATGAATCCAAGTAAACATGCCCACTGGTAAAACTGAAATTAAGAGCAGAAAAGAAATGTAATAGGTGACTATTAGAATAGCTCACATTGACAAGTGTCTGTTATGTGTGTCAGATAATTTCATTGCCCTCGTTGCAGCCTCCAGAATTGGAATGTAAGGAGTTTTTCTACTTTAAAAGAGTTCTTTCTTGCATTTGTATTTCTTTCCTGGTCTGATTTTATTTCAAGAAAAGTGGAGGGAACTAATTAGTACTATAGATGACATTCCTGAATAATTTTCTGACACAGGCTAAACAGGCATTGTTTTCAGTTACATTAAGTTTTTAAAAAATAAAAAAATACATATCAGAAGTGAACAAGTCAGACAAAGTAATCTTTTGAGAAATGATAATATATTGTCTGTGTCATATGTGGATTGAGATGGAATTGAATGGAGTCTTAGTTACTGATATTTCAGTTGGCTAATGAATGGCAAGGAAGCTGTTTATAATTTATATTTAAGAAAAATATTCTGGCAAATAACAGTTTGTTGCTTATGTGTCAACTCCCATGGGTTAGTATTCATGTACATGGAATAGACAACTATAGATCAGGTTTCATTCAGGTACAAATTAAAAAAAAAAAAACATGCAATTATGATAACTCTATACTCAGAGTCTGATTTCTTATGAATACTTATTTTGGGTAAAACAACTATTTTTTAGATAAAAATAAGGATGAGAAAAAAAGTTAAAATAAAAGTAAACATTAATATATTACTTTCTCCAGTCTCTGTTGAACTTATACGTTTGTATTCTACTTGAATTATCATTGAAAACTTTGTATCAATATCAGTCACTTACATGTATTTGTAGTGACACACACACACACACACACACACACACACACACACACACAGAAAACACATTTCAGATTGCTAGATTGGATTTATTTTTGCAAAGTATATGACTGCTTAGGAAAAATTACTCTATGAAAATGACATAATGTACTATCAATGAACAAGAGTGCACAGATTTAAAGGCTGAACAATTTAAAACATTCAAAGTTTTCCATATTCCTTTTATAAGCCTGAACTGAAGATAATCGTGGATCGTAATTAATAAAATTCTGTGGAACATTATCATATGAAAGGATGAAATTAATTTTATTATAAACAAATCTCAATTAGAGGGATAGTGAAGCTATAAATAAATTGACCTCATAATCATAAATTGTTCATTCTTTTGTTTCCAGATTTTCAGTTTTTGCCATTTTACTTGTTATTGAAGATATTTACAATATTTTGGAATATGTATATTTAGTATGTAATAAGTTTACTTTTACATTATTTACATATATATTGCCTGATCAACATATCTTTGGAATAGTCTCTCGAGCATAGTTAATACTGTTTTAGGATTGTGATACAATTCAAACCAGTTACAATCTCAGCTTTCTCCACTCATTTAAGGCTTACGTTGTTTAGAAATGCACAATGCATGGACGTTTTTATAATATGCAAATATGATATGCAAATTTTTCTCACAGTGAAAAGATTTATCCAAATTTTTCTGAGCTTTGAGAATTTAATATTATTGTGTGGTTATGTTTTAGATTGGAGAATTAATATACATTGCAGAAGGAAAAGGTATGATCCCTTTGCCTTCTGGATTCCTTCCAGTAAATTCTTCAACTTCACACGACTACAGCAGTTCTCCAGAAGAAGGTAGAGTATACATACGTTTTATTTCATTTATAATGTTGAAGGATAATACTGTTCCTCATATAGTCACCTAACTTTATTATGCCAGCATCCCCATATGGAATAGAGTACCATTTCGACAATTTAGAAAATGTTGGTGGTGGTTCTTTTTTAGATCTTTATTTTTCAGTCTTCAGGTAAATATTGAAATTTGGCATTCGAAATATTTACTCCACAAATTTTCCATTTCCCAAATAATTTGGAAATCATTACACCCTCAAATTCTCTATATGTAATATAACCTGGACTTCTACCCTACATTCTTGTTTAAAGTATAAGGTTGTTGGTGAAAGAAGATGCCAGTCCTTGACAGATGTCTTTCTTTATATTTATTTCTACTCCTCCTACCTTTTAATCACTGATAGGAGCACAACAGTCACTGAATTTTTGAGCACGTTGATAATGTTTCTATGAGAGAACCATTTGACTAGAAATCTTTTTAGAGAATACCAAGAAAACATCTTTAATTCCTGAAGACTTACTCTCGAATTACTGAATTAGGACTACTGGGACTCTGTTACCTATTTATTTTTACTGTGTTTAGTGAAGGTGACAACTATAGTTTTGTATTTCAAACCTCCCAAGTTCATCCTGAATAACGATGTCAAGGGCATAAATGATCATTGCAGTCATGAATGTTTTTGCTTCCTCCAGTGTTTAATGAAGAAGAGCCAGTTCTGTATTTGAAATGCAAGCCCCGTCACATCTTGGATGTGGACCTTATATTGCCACTGACTAATGAAGCCAAGGAAAAGGCTTTGGCTTTTGCAGCACAGCAACAGATGTCGGAGTTAGAGTATCGGCGAAGGCTGATCACAGGCACCCTGGAGAGCAGTAGTATCCGCGTGGCGATCGCCCTCCTGGGACTGACCAGGGTCGAGGTGGGAATGGACAGATGATGAATTTAAATTATTCTCTCTTTAAAAATATACAGTTATTACTTAACCATAACATTTCTACATAGAAAAATGTTGAATACTGGTTTTTCCCCTGAAAGCCAGCTCAGTAGCTTTTTTTTTTTTTTTTGACCTCATTAAATAATAAATCTCAAAATAAACTAATGGTTGCCATATGGGAGGAGGGTTGGGAGGATGGGTAGAAAAATGAGGAGATTAAAAAGTACAAATCGGTAGTTACAAAATAGTCACAGGGATGTAAAGTACAGCATAGGGAATAGAGCCAATAATATTGACTATAAATAATATTGACTATACATAGTCAATAACTATGTATAGTGCCAACTGAGTACTAGAGTAATTGGAGGGATCACTTTGTAAATTATTTAGATGTCTAACCACTATGCTATACACCTAATACTAATATCAAATGTCAACTTTAATTGAAAAATAAAAAGTAAATAATTATTCTGAAAGAAAGTATTCTACTAATTTAAACATCACTACTAATTTTAGTAGTAAAACTAAATTAGTAGTAACTAAGTATGCTGCTAATTTTAGGCATTATACTATAGTTGCTTACTTCACAGCTGTCTTCAATTCTGGCTGCACATTAGAATGCCCTAGAGAACTTAAAATAATAACATGCCCAGGCCCCACTTCAGAACAATTAAACACAAATCTCTGGAAAGGGGTAGATGGGGACATGTTCTAAAAGTTGCCTAGGGACGATCATCCCTGGTGTCAGATGACCAGACTGAGAATCCAGACTCTAACACTGTCTACCTGTGTGACTGTGGGCTAGTTACTTAAAAATCGTCAAACTTCAATTTTTGTATTTTTAATCTGGAGTTATTTGTAACTTATAGAGAATAAATGAGATAATTATGTAACATGCTTAGCATATTACATGGTATATAATAAGTATACTCTATATATTGGTATTGTCGTTTTTATTATTACTATTACTATTAGTATAGACTACTACTACAGCTTGAACTCTATTTTATGATTGAGATAAGGATAGTCTATTCTCCACAGAGCTGCCAAAGCGATTACTTTAAAATGTAGACCTCTTCACGTTGCTTCTCCACTGCCTTGCCAGCTTATGTCTTCATGTCCCTCCTCGTTAGTACCACCTCCTTCCCTGACCTCAGCATTTCCACTGGAGCCCGTTCACTCATGTCACTCCCTCAGCACAGGCCTTCTTGCTGGTCTTCAAATGCTCCCCATGGCCTGTGCACTTCCCTTGTTCTTTCCCCTAGATATTAGAGACTGCCTCTCTCAATTACTTCAGATCTGCTGGGATACTATCAATGAGATTCTGCTTTACCAAGTTATATTTTTTAAAAGCATCGCTTACCTCCACCAGACACTCTCCAAATCCTAAATTTTCTTCAATTTTCTTTTTTGATATTATCGATCAGCTGAGAGTAATATATTTCTATCTTTACTCATGTCTGTCTCCAGCAAGGGAATTCATGAGAAGATATTTGCTTAGTTAACTTTCATATTGCCAGTGCTCTAAAAAGTGGATGCTGTGCCAAAGGTAGTCACAAAATCTTTTTTCAATGACGTAATGAATGATAAATGTTTCCACCCTCGTTATTTAAGATTTACCTTCATTTACATATATTACAACAAAATGCTTGGCAGTTTAGTGATTTTTTTTTTTTTTGTCAGAGTGCTAAAATCAGTACAATCTAAGCACAGATTTTTAGCAATCAGTGATATGTTATGGATGATCTGGATTTTTAAGTTTTAATTAGCTCAAAAATATGAAGGCCTGAGGCCGTGACATCCTTTGTACTGACCCATTCACACTGTGCATCTAAGAAGCCGATGGCTCTCTTTAGCTCATACCAAAATGCTACTTCTACTGCAGAACAGTGACTTTGGAAAGGTTTATGCACAACTTTCAGTACATTATTGCAATATAAAGGTTCAGTATGTGGCTTTTTCAAACTTTAAGCCTATCATAGAGGGTGTCTCGTCCCCCCTTCCCACCACCGCCTTATTTTCTTTTTCTTTTTAAATTGGTTTTATTCATTCTTTCCTCTTGTCAAAACATTTTTATTTAAATGAAAAATGCTTGCCCGAGATGGACTTTGTCCATAGATCTTCTTTCTATTTATGGACCTATATGGTTTCTATCTTTCTCCCTCTTCTTTTAGCTTTCTTTCCGGATCCCAGCACACTTTCTGTTTTTATTATTGCATTTATCAAATTATGTTTTGTATAGGATTTATTTTTATATGTACCTGTTTCTCTAGGATGTAAATTCCTAGAAATCTAAAAACTTTTGTTATGTGTTGTTTACCATTTAATGTCTCATCCAAGAGAGATCCTGTCATTGTTTAATTGAATTGAACATGGTCCTGAACAAACAAATGACACTTTAAATATCAAGTCTTCATTGTATAGGCTGTCTATCCAGACCACCTCATACCTGATTTTTCACTAAGTCATCTTGTAATGTTTATTCATCCTGTATCCCTCCTACATTTGCAGGATAGGTATCTATATGTGTGTACTTCTCTGAATTTGTTGGTGGAAATCAAAATAATAATAATTGTTATTTATGAATAAACTTTGGCTTTTTAAAAATTAAATTTGAAACGTTTTAAGTAGTCTTTAAATTTAAAAACTGAAAGTATTTTCACCTGAAGAGTACTATTTTCTTTGAATTCTGTGAATATCATGCTTTTTTTTTTGTCTCAGCAAAAACTCTCTAAGTGCAATAGAGAAAGGTTCAGCGTGTCAGTTTAAGAAAACAAGCTATACCAAATCAGAACTTATGGACACATCTTATTGTGCTTATATACATCGAGTCATAAAGGTTTCTTTTCAAGTCCAAGTGTACTCTTGAAATACAATAATGCTAGTACTTTCTGCAGCAAAACAATAAACAAGATGAATTTTTAAAATACTCTCTCCTTATACAATATTTTACATCTTTTTTTTTTTTCCAAAATGCTTTTATATGTACTTTTAGAATTATTTTGATGACCCCCATGGAGAAATGTAAAGAAGATAGGATTACAATTACAATACAAAAAATGGAAAGCATGAGGCATAAAAAGACCTAAGTTATCCTTACTGTCTGGACAGAGATTATAACCCAAATTAGAGTAGAGACACTGTGTTTTAAAGCTGGAAAACAAATCAAACACACCCAGAGACACATAGTCCCACCCCTTACTCTTACAGACCTATAAATCAATACCTAAAAATAGTAAGATAGTAGCCTAAGTCACATCAATGATTTGTGACAGAATAGAAATGGGTCTAGGTTTTTACCAGTCAGTCCATTACTCTTTTCCTTGCCCTATATAGCCTCCAGATCATATGTTTGCTTCTTAGTGTACTACCATAAAATGGTATAATGGAATAAATGAAAGTCTAGAGTGCTGTTATAGCATAAAATAAGTATGTAACAAGTAAAATCTAAAATCATCCTTGAAATATATTTGTTCAAAACTAAATCTAATTGAATAAATATAGTCACTTTTCTACCAAAGAAAGATGACATTTCTAATTTTTTATTAAATGACAATGTGCAATTTGACTTTCTGAAATATTTATAGAGTAATAGCAATATGATGTATGTACTTTATATACTGTGAGAGACAGGATCTTTTGTCAGGAGCATTAATTTCTGAAACTTTACCACTTAGCATTTATTTATTGAATACATATACTGCTTCCATTCATAAACCAACTCTAATGATATACTCAATGTTACTGGAAAGATTCAGATCTTACAATGTAGATTCCTTATATTTTCTATTAGCTTTCTCATGTTTAAGTTTTAAAAGCCATGCTGTGGGATAAATGGCAGGAAAAGTCATCACAATTTTGAAATTTGATATTATGTTTAAAAAAGGAAATCTGAAAGATCTCTCCTTGGTAAGGATTTAGAAGGGTAAAGAAAAAGTTTTTTGTAGTTATTTAATTTTAGTGCACTCCAAATCATGAAGTAATCTTGTTGATACTGTGGAAGATAAAGCTGGGCACCAGTTAAAGCAATAAGGGGATAGACTTTATTCAGTAACTATTGCAATAGGGAGGAGGTTCCAGCATGAACTGAACTCAACTTCAATTTGTGTAGTAGTAACTGGGAGTTTTAAAGAAAGAATGAGAAAAAATAAGGAGGGAGAATGAGTGGGAACTGGAGCTGAATCTGGGAAGTAAACATTTACAAGAAGTGGGAGGGGTTTGGTGGTATGATCTGGATGCGTTAATTTATGCTTACCTGTGGGAGAAATAAACTTCAGGAATATTTTATGAGGAGATAATGACACAAGTCAGAGCAAGGTGCCCACCTGACTGGGAACATTATCTCCTTGAATGTGTGCATTTCAAAGAGAGGTCTCTGAGGTCCTTGAGTAGACAGTTCTAGGTGGTAGAAGATTTACATCTCAAAAAGGAAGACAAAAGATTTATAATTGCAAGCTTTCTAAAGTAACTGCTCTAAGAGGGGTTTGGGAGCTTATCTGCCAATTAAAGATTTTGGCTGGAACTAACTAATATATCCTGGCAACATCAACTTGCTCAGGTAGGCACTTTCAGGGAGACTGGGACCATTCTAGAGATATAGCCTTGAGCTGTTAGAAACTACATTAGTGCTTGTTCAAGTCTCTTAGCATATGTTTATGATGGAAGGGGGTGGACAAAATAATTTGTGCTGAGAATCTATAGTTTTTATATGCCAAGGCTGAGGCCTAGTTGAGAAGACAGCTTGGAGGAGCCTGACTAGAGTTTGGTCAAGAAGAAAGTCCATGTCAATACATATTATTTTGAATGACTTGAAGATATAGAAAGCAAATGATATGCATTTAGGATAAAGAGGTAGTTGCTGATGTGAGTAGATTATTTATTCACAATGACTAGAAAAATGAACCAAACCAAAAAAATGGTAAGTGTAGATAAATTAATTTAAATATCTGCATTTACATGATTTGAATTGCCAAAATAAAGTAGGTGGAAAATCTGACTTTGTGGGAAAAAATCCTTGTGGATTTTATAGATAATAAACCCAGCGAATGAGATGATTGCTAAAGGCAATAACATTTATTTTTGATGAGTAACGATATCATGATCATGATCACGTTGATGATGATGATGACAATGATAATGATGACAGTGATGATATTATAGCCAACATTTATTGAGTACTTACAATGTATTCTAAGCACCTGGCACTTTAAATAATATCACGAGGAATAGGCAGTATGTACTATTATTACTCATATTTTACAAAGGAAGACTTTGTGGCTTTGGTTAATAAGGTGATCAGGCTCACTTAGAGTTAGGGTATAATGGCAGGCAGTTTGGCTCCAAGAATGCTTGGTCTAACCATTGGGCTGGAGAGCATCCAGATAAAAATAAATGATTGCCTACCTCTGTACTCTTCATTGCTTGGTTCACATTTAGAGAACTGGGTTTCCCTTTGGTGTTCTATTTTAGGAAGGATAGTATTGAACTCAGTTGTGTCTTGAGCATGTGCATGGTGGCGAATTGTAACCTACATTATATAAGTAACGGTTGAAGGGACTAAAAATATCAAACTTATTTAAAAAGGATGTTTGGAGGTCTATGGAGGGGAAGGACCTAGTTTACATACCCCTCCCCCCCTGCCCCACACACACGATATCGTCATTAGCAAAAGAGTGGAGACTAACTGTACCGCTAATAAGAGCTAGACCTGATGGGTAGATGTTAGGGTGCACAGGGTTCAACTCAAGGTGGGAAGCACTTTCTCATTGCTGTTCACCAATGGAATGGTTTCTCCCTAAGGCAGTGAATTCTTCAACACTGACAGGATTACAGCAGGAGACTTTGAGCATCTCTGAAAAAAGGATGACTCCATTAATTCTTTGAAACTTGTTAGTGTCGTCTTCTACCAGTAAAATAATGTTTAAAGAAATTAATGAATTTAATCCCTTGGTGAATTTTCCCCCCAAATAAGAAGTCTATATACATAATGTTATCTTTTGTATTTTGGAGGTAATGGGTAAGAGAATTACATTCCAATTTTACTCTCTGTTTATTTGCAGACTTGTACGCTCTTTAATATCTCAAAGTTAAAGACGCCTAAGTCCATTTTATACACAACAGAACTGAGCCTTCCAGAATATTTTTATATCCCCAACGAAATCTACATTCCTCAGAAGCCAGTAAATAAAGCTAAAGGACTTAAACCTCCAAATAAAACAGGTAATCAGTACCATGTGGTTTGCAATATCTAGCACTGTCACAGGCAATGTGAAACAGTAAAATACAAAGAAATTATCTTTACTAATAGGATGTTCATAATATAATTGAAAAGATAGTTCAACTACATAAATACCAATTATTAAATAATATTTTGCATTATAAGTAACCAACGTACTATATCACAGTAATCTAAAATATGTACTGAATTTAGGTGCTAAATTACTGGTACTGAAATTTGCAACTTATCTTTGTTAAATAATACTTATCTGTAAAGACAGTAAGTACACTTTGAGACAAGTGAGCTCTTGCTTTGACGGTGAACTTAGTTACAAAAGTTGTGCTGGAGTTGAGGCTTAGGCTGGCTTTAAAGAATAGGAAGGATGTTGATGTCAAGAGCATATCAAAAGAGAACAGTGCCATTTATGAGTAATTTATCTTTTATCTGGATTAGAGCCTTTATTAATTAAGTACTTACTCTTGGTCTCCTGGCGTCCCTTTATTCTGTTTTTTTGTTTAGGAAAGACTAAGCCAGATTTAATAGAATATTAATAAATATACATTATTAAATACTAATAAGATGTAAACAATGTGACTACATAATTTAAAGTATTAAAATTAATTTTCTTTCACTTCTTTTTAAGCTGGTGGATAATAAGAATATAATGTTTTTACTAGGACTATTCCTACAGTACTATGTGTCCTGGATTCTAAGTTACGTTGTTACTAATTTGATTTTGTTAAATTTTCATTTGATATTGTCCTATGGCTTTGTGTTAACTATAAAATATTTCAAGATTTGAAACGATGGTTAAAAAATATAAGGTACAAGATAATCTGTTCATTTTACCTTTTTAAGGTGGTCTGGGGTCCCAGATTCAAATGCTAAGTAGCCAAACAGGTAACAAGGATTCATGAATTAGGTCTAGTCTATGGCAATAGGGATGATGGAGCCTATGACAAACTGGAGGGTAGATGCCCTATCTGAATATTCAAATTCAGAAAAATAAAAATAAAAATAAAAGCTTGAACCAGCCAAACAACTGTGAGGGCATATTTGGCTCACCAGGTGTCTATTTGAGACCTTTTGTGATAATTTGTCTTTTTAAAAAAATTTTATTGCCTCTAGCTTTTCAATTTGCTATTAAATTTTTAAAAGGATAACTATTGTGATAACTTTTTCATTTCTTTTGAGATAATTGGTTAAAATTGTGTGTATTATAAACCTGGCTAGGATTGTCAGTTCATCTGATTAATTTATTTAGTCATTAATTCACTACTGCGCATCAATTTCTTTGGACAAAATAATGAAAATTGCCACATTCATCCCTTTAAAGGACTAACAGATAAGTAGCTCTTGTAATACAATGAGGTAAGTGTTATTGATAGAGAGACATTTGTACAGAAAGTTTTAAAAATAAAACTAACATTAATATAGTTGATTATATAGGATAATTCCAATTTTAAAGAATTTCACTCTGAGAAAACATATAACTAAGATATATAGCATAGCCTTGACATGAAACTCAAAGGATAGTCTTAATAAACACTAATGGAGACTGGACTATTAAAGATGCCATTTAATTATAAATAACAGGTTATTCGTAATTAAAAGTCTTTCACTCAGATTTTTCTAAGGCTAATAATTTTTTTATCAATTGTTAATTATTACGAATATTATTGTGAACATTAAGAAAAGATAGAACTGCAAACAGTTTTTAAAAGATTATGCATAAAACTTTAAAAATGTAATTAGCCTATGATGGTTCTTATCTAACTTGATTTTCTGTGCATTTGAGTTTATAGAGGAAGCTTTAAGCCCAAGTTTGTTTTGCTCCCTTCAACATACATTTAAATAAAGTAAGTTTGGGGTGGCTTCAAATAAATAAAGTAAGTTTAGGGTGGTTAGAATGTCTGCTTTACATGCAGAAGGTCCTGGGTTCGCACCCCAGGTGGAGCCATGGACCATAACTCCTGTGCGCCAGGCCCCCCATGGTGCGCCAGGCCTCGGTCTACTCTGCAAGCGCTTAGGGGGAGATGCCCCGCCTTCAGAGATCCAGTTCTTAAAGGGAGACAGCAACATCCATAGGGCAGGGATGGAAGGGAGGGGGGAGATTAAAGAGGGGGGAAATTAAAGTAAGTTTATAAAAGCAGAATATTCTAATTCAGGATAGTAGGTCAAATAAAATACATACCCTAAACCATGTACATTCTGTTGTTAGGCAGTGGACTCGATTAATGAAAAGTTAAAGAATATAAGCATTTTAACTTTAATAAATAACATTCTATTAGAATTTGAGACAAAGAATAATAGAGTTAAGGGTTTGAAAAATTTATTTTTATGGTTTAGCCAATTTGAAGAAAACAAATCAGCATCAAGAAGGAGAGAAATGACAAGAGTTTATGTGGAGAAGTAGAGATAGCCGAGTGTTCCTGCTAATTGCAGAAAAGGGGTGGAAGTAGGGTCATATTTATAATCTCTTGAAGTTATAAACTCATCAAAGTGATCTTTTTTTGAGGAAGTAAAAAATAGCTGTCTTTTGCCCTGTCATATTAATGTTGCCTATTGGTCTTTACCTTTTTGAAATTCTTAATGAAAATTCCACATTTCTGATTAACTATAGCTATTATCAAAATTATTAAAAATAATCTATTTAAATTTGTATTTATTTTAGCCCACATCATTTGGAAGAATGTTACTTTGTCTGTCCTAACATTTAACATAATACGTTCATCTGAAGGAAATGAAACACTAAAGAAAGTGCCTGTTGTTCCACTTTCATAGATCTTAGAGACCCTGTGGCACCTTTATGTTAATAGGCTGGGGTAGGTCTAATATTTATTGAACACCAACAAATGCAAAGCACTGTGATGGTTGAGTTGTGTTCTTATTTAATTTTCCCAGTAGATATTTCTTTCTCAGATGTTGTCTAGGCATTTGATTCTCTACATGCTTATCTATGGACTTGCATTTCTCACAACAACCTTTCTACACTATTATTAGTCTTTTTTTCCCATTCGTTTACTTTTTATTGAATTTATTGGGGGTAACAGTTAATAACATGATATAAATTTCAGGTGTACAACTTTATAATATGACATCTGTATACTCTATCGTGTGCTTACTACTTGAAGCCTAGCATCCTTCCATCACCATAGATTGGATCCCTTTTATCCTCTTTGTCCTCTTCCCATCTCCCTTCCCCTCTAGTAACAACCATTCTGTTGTCTGTATCTATGAGTTTGTTTTTTTAAACATCATTTTCACTCCAGTCTTTTCCCCATCCCCAGCCTCCACTGAGCATATGACTGCCTCTTCTCTCTCTATCAGAAGAAAAGGGGCCACATGAAAACAGACTTCCTGAACCCCCTTAGCACCTTCTCCCTAATCTCCAAAGAATAGGAATTTACTCTGTCAATCTTGCTGTATGTATCCTTCATCATACTCCAGGTAACCTGCTCTTGGGTTCTTGCTCATCATTTATCACACGTCCTTCCCTAAGAGTAGTTTCTTCACTTTTGGCTCCCAAACTTTCTCAAGCTTCAACAACTGAAGAAATTCATATCTTACTGGATCTCTGTTGCATTTAACCTGGATACTAAATGTCTTCTCAGAATTCTAGACATTTGAGATAAGGCTTTATCCTTGTTTCCTGCATTTATTCTCCATCTGCCTGACAAGATTTCTTCTTAGTCTCTTTATGAATTCTTCTGTTTACCCCATCAATGTGGGAATATATTCAAGACTCTTGTCATACTGGGGTTATTATTTTTATACATCCCCTAGAGGAGTTTGTATACTCCTAGAGTTATAACTACCATTAACATCACCATTTGTCTCTATTTCTACCCTTTTCCTTCCATTTTTAACATATATTCAGAGGCATGCCTACGTATATATACAAATATACAAATAGATTGAGAGCTAAATTAGAGATATATTCCACAAATTCAAAATGTATACATTATTTTTCTCCATTTGTTCTTCATCATGTAATCTTTATCATTTCATATGGTGGAACATATATTTATTCTGTCTCTTATACTGGAAATCTGGACATACTACTAGAAGCTTCTCTCTCTTGAGTTTATACATGCAATTCATCTTGCAGTCCTTAATTTTCTGTAATGTATTTCCTACTCTTTCTTCTCTTCTTTTCTACTCCCACTATCATGATTCAGATCTTCTTCAGCACTTCACAAATGGAGAAAATAATTGCATCCACTTCCTCTGAATTAGCTGTAAATTTAATGAGATATGACATATATTAAGAATTTAAATGCTATATAGTATACCTAATAAATGTTGGCTATTAATAAAATTTAATTTTATCACCCTTAAATTATTTTACCTCTAGGCACAAGAATTATTAAATCTAATCAGGAAATATTACCGAAACATTTTGTGATGTCAGGGGTAGATTTACTATGATACCAAAGGAACATAAACTTTGTGATTCTTTACTTTTTTGACCCCTTCTTCCTAGTCCCTGTACCTAGTTTTATATTTGTAATTTTACAAACTTTCTCTTGAAGAAGGCCTCTTAAATTGTAAAAGCCTCAGGCATCATAAAACGCAGAGTTTTATCTGGCTGTAGATATTGATTTAAAGTCTCATCTGCTTATGGTTCTGGGGATGTTGAAATTTATGGACAGGAAGAGTCTTATAGACCTAAAGTAGGCATAGGTAAGCAGGAAACCTCCAGTGGATTCAGGAACACTTACCATGCTCAAAACTTTATTATTCGTTTGTTTGTTTGTTTGTTTGTTTGTTTGTTTAACAGTATTATTGATTTATCATTCACATACTGTGAAATTCACCAATTTAAAGTGTACAATTCAATGATTTTTAGTATATTCATAGATATATGTAACCATTACCACAGTCAATTTTAGAACATGTGTATAACTTCACAAAGAAATCTAGTACCCTTTAGCTCTCGACCCGCTATCATCCACCCCTCCCTCCAGCACTAAGTAACCATTCATTTACTTTGTGTATA